CGATTTTGTTATACAGCGATTTTAACGGAACGGATTATCGTTGTCATGTGGGGCACCACTGTAATGCCCTGACCCCAAAGACCCTCAGAGTTAAGGCATTATTCATACTCTTAGCTGAGGAGCGACAAGCATATGTAGATGGGTGTCGGCAGCAGTGGGTTCAGGAAACAGAGAATGGGTGGCAGTGTCGGCTCTGCCACCACAGTCACCACTCCACTGCTTCTGTTTTGCTAATAGCCATACATGTTGACTGCAGAAGTGCTAACTGCCTGTGAGTCTTGAAATCTAGATCATTCATTCATACCTTCACCCGTCTTCCGTAAGCCTGTCTATTCATATTTAAAAAAGAACTTGCTATCTTGTTTCTGGTGCATCTTTAAAACAGAAAAAAAAATCTTCTTGATCCATGTCGATCTCTTACATCTTCATAAAGTCATTGGAATGCATTTATGCTTGTAAAATTGCATTCCAGTCTGGACCTCTAATTCACAAGGTGCAGATAAGGTTGATTTGCTGTTAAATGTGCACTGAATAACACTGGAGGATTTCTTCCTAGAAATTCTGCACATTTTTTATTTGCTTAGGTCTGAAGGAGTGGATTTTAATCCACAGGAACACACTTGAAAATAAATCTGCTAAAGTTAAAGGTGCCACAAGAATCCCTCCACCCCAGTTTCACATACTAAAACAGAGTATCTCTTTGAAAATGCTTGAGCTCCAAATTGAATATACATGCCCCTATATTTTCTGTCCTTAACAAGGATGCTGCCTAAATAAAGGTATTTTGGAAAGTAAGGGAAAAAATTCAATATTCATTTTGCTATTATTTTCCAAAACTTCTTTGCCTGTATTGTACAGCTCAATACCGATGGACTTTCTAAACACTGGACTTTTTTTGTTCAATACAAGCAGGTTTCTGAGAATGTCAATGAACTTAAATTTTCAAAGTGGAATATTAGGAGTCTAAACAAAACTTGGGTCAAAAGAAGAATCAAGATTATATATAAGGAAACAGATGCACCAAATAGTTCTGGCTAGTACTCAAATGAGAGAGTGAGGAGTATGTTCTCCCTCGTTCTTGGGTATCTCTGCTCTCAAGTATGCCTCCTCCTATTTCTTCCATTTAACTAGTCCATATTACTGTCAAGCCTTCTAACATGTGAGACTGAATACTGTCCTTTCAAGGCAGATGCAGGAAAGATTGTCAGGACAACCTTACTCCAAGAGAGTTTCTTCATGTAACAAGACTAGGCTGGATACTCTTGCACTTATTTTGTGCTCTCATCCTTTTTATGCAACTGTGAGAGTGTGTTTTATTAAACCTTTGTTTGATTTACTAGAAACACCACTCTCTGAAGACTTTGTTCCTAAATGACTAGAAGATAAAAACCCTCATTTTCCTCGAGCAATTGCTAAATTTGTTGCTGCTATTGTTTTCTAATGTGTTGCTGCTATTCAGTCTTCTAACCTTGAGTTCTTTTCTGAAATGGTGATCTTCTCTTCCTTACTGTAGCTGCACAAATGTTTCCTACGCCACCAATGGCTCCTGGATATGCAAGACTTGGCAAGCTGAAAACCTGAATCTGTAGGCGAGCTTTTGGATGAAGAAAGGGCCACACAACAATGGTGAAAGTTGATTAAAATGGAATATGGAAACATGCATGAGCAACAGCTTCTGCAGAACGGGATACTACTGGCACCAAAATAATTTAATGCAAAACAGAAGCCATACCAACTTCAACAACCTCCAAGGAAAGGAACTGTGTCTTACTAAAAGTTTTACTTGATCATTTAAATGGGGAAAATAGAGGGGAAAATACTGAAAAGGGGGAAGAGGAAGAGGATGATAGACGCATTATGCATTGATTTTGTTGTCCAGTGGACTGCTCTGGAATCAGGTATTTCAAACCCCACTCCAATTTACTATCCATTTCATAGGCATTTTTGCCTCCCCCAGACC